AACACCTCAAAGGATTCAACACACACGCACACACACACACACACACACACACACACGTACACACAGGCACGCAGACAGCGTAATGCCCTAGGGGCCACGCCCTCGTCTCTGATGGGCGGGTGTGTATTACAGCCAGCATATGAATTTAGTATTGAATTTAAATGCAAATTGCGTTTGCATGCAAAACGTGTAGCAAAGTGTTTTGCAAAAACAAAAGATAGTTTTTTCACACACACACACACAAACACACACACATACATCTATATATATACATATGTGTACTCAGTTTATGTGGAGTTCCAGTCTGTCCATTGCATTGACCTACATTAACTGGGAAGCTTAACTGATTACTTGATAAACTACAATTGATGGTCGATTCTATAAATTGCCAAGTGCCAAGACATGGCTATCAATTTGGCCAGCACATAATTATATGGTTAGCTCTTAAATTAAACAAGTTAAGTAAGTCGAGAAGAAAGTGACATATCTAGGAAAATAAATTGTATAACTAACAGGTAAGAGGTTCTAGTCGGGGGCTCCCGACTAGGGCATACCCTGAACCCTCTTCTTCCAACATCAAATGCATATATATAATCTATTTTAGAAGCTATATGTCAAGTTTGGTGACTCTAGCTATTAATATTTACCAAAATTGCCCAAAAAACAGGATATCGATATCGATTTTTGGAAACGGAGTAAGTTATCGATTATCGGAAACAAACTCGATCTGCACAGGCACTTCAAGTCTCTAGCTCTTATGGGTTCTGAGATCCTTGCGTTCATACATACGGACATGTCGGACGGACGGACAGACGGACAGACAGACAGACGGAAATGGCTAGATCGACACGGCTATTGATGCTGATCAAGAATATATATACTTTATGGGGTCGGAGATGCTTCCTTCTGCCTGTTATATACATTTGGATTTTGCACAAATACAATATACCCTTATACCCATTTTTAATGGATTCAGGGTATAAAACTGTTTCTGATTTGGACAAACTTTTTGGGCTTTTACTAGATTTAATAAGTAACAAATTTGTAGTAGAAAAATGACAACTACTTAGCTTGAGCTAAGATGATTTTTCTGATTGATGATCGACTTCGACTTCGACTTCGACTACGACTTCTAGATTTATTTCGCAGTTAATTTTATGTCACATATAAATGCAGTATTGTTGCACATATTTTCAAACATTTTAGGTTCTGCACAGATTAAAAATCAATAGAACTATGAAATTACTTTAAGCTCGAAACCCATTTAACACTTTCAATATAGGAGCTCGTATTGTGTGAATCGACAGCTTGGACTTTAAGCTCATTTCAAGCTCATTTGAAAACAGAAGCAATTTCTTCAAAATATTCAAAAGATTTTGAGCATCTGCTCAGCGGCAAACAGATTAAAAGCTTCTGGAATATTGATGAACATTTATGTTCTTCTTCATTTCTGCATGAATATATTGATGCATTTATTATTGACGGAAAATGTTTCAAAAAGTCTCTTTAATACATTTTTATGGTTAGCCATAAAAATGAAGAAACCCTTAAAGCACAAGTATATATATGTATTAATATATATTTATATACAGATGTAGATATTGCCTTATGCTATATGTATATATATGTATTTAGACGCTGCATTGTGGCCTGATGTCGCAACATGACGCATGACTAACGAAAACTTTATGCAGCTGACAAAGTTAGTGAACAATTTGAAAGACTCCCCACGACTGGGCAGGGTACAAAAAGTTGCCAGTTGCAAGTCGTGCGAACCAAATAGGGACGACGACAGCCAGCCCGTTGACAATGCGTAAGAACTCGGCGAGCGAGTGTTTATTACAGAGCGAGGGCGCGAGGGGCTGGGACGGCGGGTAGGGGGTTAGGGCTTAACTCACCTATGACATTCAAGCGAAATGCCATCGAAATCTTTGGCTCCGTGTTCACCTGGCACTCGTAGATGCCGCTGTCACGTGGCTGCGCATATTTCACATGCAATGTCCAATCCTTCGAGTCGGCGGTGCGTACGACCTGCAAGCGGAGGATGCATAGATAAATTGTTAAGGCAACTGCAAATGTCCCCAGTCCAAGTCCCAAAACCCCCTTGGGCTGTCCTTGGGCAAATTTAATCAATGCATACAAGTTGGGCCAGGCCAGGAGCACCGAAATGCATACGCAATTAAGCTGACTTGGCTTACAAATGGGGCCAGCAGGCCCCATGGCCATATAATAAGCCCGACAAGCAGGGATGGAGAAGGGATGGAGGGGCGGAGGTTGGGCAATAAGTAGATTACGTATACGCACCTTGAAGCGCTCATCAGAAGTGTAGGTCAGAATGCCTGCAGTCAGAATGTGCAAATCGCGTTTCCTTATCCAGGATACCTGCAAATAGACAAAAACACACACGCACACAGAGAGTTAGACAAAGGGACTTTGAGCGCCTAAGTCAATTTCAAAAAATTGCCAGCAAGCTGAACAAAATAAAGATAGAAAATTTAATAAACCAAACGACAAAATGAACTAAGCGCTACACTGAAAGCTGAAACAATATCAAAATAAAGGAGAGAAACTAAAAAACTTTTTGCAGCGGCAGGCAAAGCGATTTGCTGCCAGGCAACAAGAGCGAGAGGTGCGAGAGGTGCGTGCCCAAAATGTCAGCGGCTTAAAGCCTTGCCAAAGCCTTCGAAAAATGCTGGCCATAGCCCCCCCCCCCCCCCCACCGAAAGCAGCCAAAAAGTAATCTGCAAGCCTGCCGCAGGCGGCCAAAACTTTTCGCTGCGCCAAAGAGATGCGAGGCAAAAAATAAAGGAGCATGAAAAAATCAAAATAAAACACAAAAAACCTGAAGCCGAAACTAAAAGTGTCAAAGCGGCAAAAGGAAACAGCTACACCTCCCTCTTAAAAAAAAAAAAAAGAAGAAAATGTAAAGGAAAAGCAGCCAGAAAGGTGCTACTAAATCTCGTTCTGTGCGGGAATGGATGATGATGATGATGATGAGCTGGTCGCCGGACTATGTGTTGGCAACAGTTTTTGGGCAAGTGGATTTGCAGCCAGCTGAAAAAAAGAGTTTGCAGCGAAAAAGGCAAAGCTATGCAAAGCAGCAGCATTCGCAATGATAGACAGATTTAGGGACTGCTCTCTCGGAAGCGGCTCAGCCAAAGTGGAAAGTGGAAACTGGAAAGTAGAAAGTAGAAGGTAGAAAGTGGAAACTGTAGCTCAAAACAGATGCTAAAAATTCATTCAGCTTAAGCTGAATACTTTCTATGTGCTGACCCTGAAACTGGCGCGGATTAATGTTGCTCTTGCTCGCGAATTTACAGTGAAATCAATTTTAATTAAAGATTCGAATACTCATTAACCTTAAGCTCTTAAAAGCGCTGCTGCTAATATGTAGCAGAGTATTCAACACATTTTGGCAAACATTTTCAAAGCAGCTTTGCAACTTTGTTGCCATTTCACTGCTGATGCTTAACAAAGTCTTGGCAACTTGTGCCAAAACTCAACAAAATATCTTCAATATTTCAAATAGAGAAAGAACATTGTGAAAAAAACCTTATCTATCGAAAGTGCAATATTTCGCTACCCTTGCAAAGTCTTTGCTATCCGTTCTACAACTCCAGAAAACCTTTAAGAGAACAACATTGTACAAACAAGTAAGAGGTTCTAGTCGGGAGCTCCCGACTAGGGCATACCCTGAACTCTCTTCTTTTAACATTCAGCATATATATATTCTATTGTAGAAGCTTGTTGACTCTAGCTCTTATTATTTACCAAAATGGCCCAAAAAACAGGATATTGATATCGATTGCTTGGAAACGGAGTAAGTTATCGGAAACAAACTCGATCTGCGCAGGCACTTCAAGTCTCTAGCTCTTATAGGTTCTGAGATCTTTGCGTTTATACATACGGACACACGGACATGGCAAGATCGACTCGGCTATTGATGCTGATCAAGAATATATATACATTATGGGGTCGGAGATGCTTCCTTCTGCCTGTTACATACATATTATACCCATTTTTAATGGGTTCAGGGTATAAAAACCTAATCCATTGCATCTTCTACATTCCTCTAGCTTTGTCGCAAAATGTATTTATTTGTCATATATTATTTCATTTTCCCTGACTTTAAATATTTGTTATTATAATTTATATTTGACATATACATATTTTAACTTAATTCTCTCTTTTAATGAGTACTTGGGTCCTCGTTTTTCTCTATGTTCGCTCAGCAACAAATCAGAGTATCGATAATTCCTTCTTCTATCTTATACTATTCTCCAGCTGTCTTTCGACACCTTTGCGAGGTAAATTTAAATGTATAACACAGAAAAGGAGACATCTGAAAGACTATCAATCTCTCCTGCTGCCAGCTCTCTCTCTCTCTCTCTCTCTCTCTCTCTCTCTCTCTCTCTCTCTCTCTCTCTCTCTCTCTCTTTCTCTCTCTCTCTCTTTAACTTTCAGCTTTTTGTCAGTTTGGTCATGAATCGAACTTTAATTATTAAACCCGCCCAATCGGCGCACAATATCAAACTGATGTCAAAAAAAAACGTATTTTTGGTTTTTTGTACGCCTTAAATTAAGTGAAGAGAAACTCATTTGGAGCATCGAATTGATTGGCATTCAATGCGAGGCGCAGCAAAAAATGTTCCACTTTTCGCAGCAAAGTTACGGTTGACCTTTGGAACCCACAAAAAAAACAGAGGAGGAGTAACAGTGTTGTAAAGCGAAAGAAAAACGCAAAGAAATCAACTTTAAAGTTGATGAAGCAGATACAAAAAAACAAAATTAAAAATAAAGCAAAGCTGGATGAGGGACAACAAAAAAAAAAAAGAAGAAGATGAAACACAATGCAAAACCATAAACTAAACTTTTGAGGGTGGCGACAGGACGCGCAGGATAAGGACAACGGGACGAGAGGACTTCTGTCAGTCAAGCAAGAAAATGAGCAAAAGACCAGCTGAGAGATGGGCACAATGAAAGCGGAACCGGAAAACGATACGAGTAGCTGAACAAACTGTCCGAAGAAAAATGGTGAACCAAAGAAAAAAATGTACTTTGGCGGTAAGTTGATTTTCAGCTTGACTAACTCCAAAGTCAAGGTCAATATTTGCCTGAGCGATAGTTAAAAATGCATAAAAAAAAGAGAAGAAAAGAAAAGAAAAGTATGTCGAACGGAAGAAGACATTTTTGTGATAAGGCGAAAAGACTTGACTCACCGATTTATCGCGCAAATTCTCGACGCGGCAATTGATGGCCGCCGTGTGTCCGGTCCGTGCCGTTATATTCCGGGGCATGCCAAAGTCAAAGACCGGCGGCGGATAAGTTGTCTCATCCACTTGCTCATCGAGCAGCTCATCCAAAGCATTGTCAAACTGCGCCGCATTGTTGTGGTGCAAATGCTGGTTACCATTCCCATGCCCGTTCCCATTCCCATTCCCGTTGTGGTTGTGGTTGTGGCCATGGACCAGCGAGGCGATATATACATCATCCACAGCCGCAATGGAGGGCAACAAGTCGTTGTCTATGATGTTGGCAGCTGCAAACGAGAAGAACAAAAAAAACAACAATGAACAAATTGTGAAAACGAGAAATCGAGAAGCGGACAGCAGAAATTGAGAATTGAGTATTGAGAATCGAGCATCGAGAATTGCATAAGCAAATGCCGTAATTGTTGATTGAATTGGCAGCATTTGCCAGCTTCACTGTTGTCTATCGCTGGCCAGGCCAGAACTTCATTTACAGCTTAGGCCATGAACAAAGAACACTTCAAGCTAACGAGAAAGTGCACAGACGCCCGCCCTGCCTCAAACAAAGCAGGGTATAAAAAGGCCATTGCATTCAAAGCAAATTAATTAAATGCCACTCAATGCCCAGAGACAAGTGCCAGACTCTGCCAGCACTTGAGCTCATGTGAGAAAAGTCAAATGGCCAAATGGTTGATGGGTGTGCCTCTGTGTGTGTGTGTGTGTGTGTGTCCACTTCGAAGCCTTGTTCATAGCTCTTAAATGTGTCCGGCTGACATGGCTTTAAGACAATGGCCAATAGAATGCAGCAGTTGGCTGTCCTTGACTCGAAATGACTTGCGGAAAACGCTCGTTATAATAATTATAAAAAAGCATTGTGAACCAACAATCGAATCATTTCCTTGCTCTCGCGTTGGCTAAACAACGGAAATTGTTTTTAATTAAAATAAACGAGCGCTTTTTATGGCCCTGCGGCCGGAAGTGCCAAGACTCCGGCTTTGGCGCTCGCTCTGCTTCGCATTTCATTCACGCTTCCGTTCAGGGTGATAAAAAATTTTGACAACTCTCGAAATTACAGTTAATGAGTGCAATAGCGTACGTGTGAAGCGATTGAGAACAGTTACAGTTTTCTTGTCCTTTCTTTTTTTTTTTTGAGAGTATAAGTGCCTGCACAGCTTGTGTATGTCCCATTCGAAATGAACTGGCCTTTTAGAATTGAGAGTTCTTAACAATATGATTATATAAAGATTATTCTTAAGATACGAGAAGCTTGAAAAGAGATAAGTCTTATAAAGATAAGTCTTAAGAGACCAGAAGTGAGAACTCTATCCCTTGACAAACTTCCTCATCGAATTTCTCAAATATTAAGTTTGATATCTCATTCATACGCTGTCTTATAAATAATTCTTTGAAGTTAATTAATAATTCTTTTATAACTAAAATGCATTACAAACCAATTCAAAGGGTATCTTAAGTATTTCTTTATACTCGCAGCAGATGCAAAAAAATGTGGGGATACTTTTTTAATTTCCACATAATAAATATTCATATATTCATAATTTTAATTAAATTAAACTATGTTTCATCAAATTAAGCTGGTTTTTCAATTATTTGTAAATTTAATTTCAACGCGCTTATTATAAAATAAATTATTAAAATATTCAAGCTTAAAAATAATTTAAATTGTTTGCCATGAATTTTTATTTGTTTTTTACGCGAAAACATTAAAAAATGTAATTAGCAATAATAATGTGCATAAGTTGTTATAAAAGCATTTGAGTATATTTAAAAAAAGTCAACCTTTTTATACTTTTTATACAAATGGGTAAAAAGGGTATATTGTATTTGTTCAAAATCCAAATGTATGTAACAGGCAGAAGAAAGTATCTCCGACCCCATAAAGTATATATATTCTTGATCAGCATCAATAGCCGAGTCGATCTAGCCATGTCCGTCTGTCTGTCTGGCCGTCTGTCTATCTGTCTGTCTCTCTGTCTGTCCATCCGTCCGTCCGTATGTATGAACGCAAGGATCTCAGAACCTATAAGAGCTAGCCTTGAAATAGATTAGATGTAGGTGCTCCTAGTTCCCGCGCAGATCGAGTTTATTTCCGATAATCGATAACTTACTCCGTTTCCAAGCGATCGATAAAAATCGATATCGATATCCTGTTTTTTGGGCAATTTTGGTAAATAATAAGAGCTAGATTCACCAAACTTGACATATAGCTTCTAAAATAGAATATATATATATGCATTTGATGTTGGAAGAAAAGGGTTCAGGGTATGCCCTAGTCGGGAGCTCCCGACTAGAACCTTTTACATGTTATCATTTGAAGCCCCATTGCTGTGATTGCCCATATATCCATATTCATATTTATTTATCTCTACACGTGTCACATATCGCCATAATTTGTGCATATTTGACGTAATTTGCATTGCAATTTGAACAAAAAATGAAATTGTTCAGTCTGTTGGAAAAATTGCTCGCATTTCATTGACCGTTCAACAAAGTTCAAAGTTCACACTTTGGTATACATAATGTGCGCACATTAAGCGCGCCCGACCGCACACAAATTCCTGCGACTAGAATATCCGCATGTGCATTATCCTGTTTTTTTTTTCAAGTGCAACACTTGTCAGTGGCACCTTTCGTATCCTTTGGCATTCCAAAAGTAAAATGCATATTTTTGCATTTGAATTTATTTGACATTTTAATGAGCGCATAATGTCAACGCCGAGTGTTAGTCGCAGTCGACACTTATAATTCAACGTACGCGACTGCTCCTCAATTTAGCTCGTTGCCGGGCCGGGCCGGGAACTGCCCCCGTGTCAGACCACCCTGCCCCCTGCTACACCCTCACTGTCTAACTGGGTCACTCGCTTTGGCAGCTGCTGCTGCTGCACTTGAATCTTTTAGGCCGTTGTGGCACTTGTGCATGTTAGACACAAAAATCTAAATTATTTAAGTGCCCACACACACGGTAAGCGAGGGCGGAGTGGGAGACACATCCGCTCGAAAGAGTGCGAAGCGTTTTTATCATTGTTTGCAGCGTGCACCATTCGCAGATACCCATTAAATTCTTTAGGGGCGACAAGGTTTTTATTTTCATATCAATCCAGATTTGCATGTCAAACATTTTCCATTTACTTGGGTCTCTTTTTAATTTGATTTCTTTATCATTGTATTTTTATCGCAAACATTTGCCATGGGGATAAGCTGCCTTGTTAATGTATATTTGCATGTCAAATATTGGCCATTTACTTGAGCTTCGTTTTAATTTGATTTTCATATGACAACATTTGCATCCTCAAACATTTATCATGAGGATAAATTGCTCTGTAAATGTATATTTTCATCTGAAACATTTGCCACATACTTAAGTCTCTTTTTAATTTGATTTTCATATCATTGCATTTTCATCGCAAACATTTACCATGAGGATAAACTGGCTTGTAAATGTATACTAGCATTTTAACAGAAGGGAATTGCAATTAAGCCACAGCTGTGATCATAATTGCAAATAAATATACTCAAACCGACTTAAATGTCCGCATTTAATATTCACACCGGCACTAATATACCCTGTCTAACAATTTTTGTGTACAGGGTATATAAAAAGTAAACTACACACTAAAAAAAAAGCAACATGCAAAAGCGCCAAACTGAGTATTGCACTTGCTGTTGTTGTTTGGCTTTATTCTGCAGACACACACACACACAAACACACACAAACACACACACACATGCAAATTCACACACGCACACACACTCATATTTTTTGGCATCATTTAGATGCTCGTCGAGCAACTGATGCAAATTTAATTTGGACACCTCCACACAAAAAGTGCGCGTAAGAGCAGCGGGTCGGGCTTGAAGAGGGGCGCGTGTAGATTGTGGGTGTGGCTATGTGGTGGACCCAGGGGGATTGGTTAAGGGTATCTATCTGCGCCATAACTTGCGCTTGAGTGTGTATGAACTGCAACTAATGATGTTGCAGGCACTCGAATGCGCCTTTTTGATTTAACGATCGACTTTTTTCTCCCAGTCGCCGTCGCCGTTGTTGTTGTTGTTGTTACTACTGCTGTTGATGATAACGTGGCAGAGTGGAGATTGCGCTGGAGAGGTCGAAGGTTGCAGATTGGCGAACACGGTAGGGGGAAGCGCTTAATGACTGGTTGGTTTGGTTAGCTGGTTGGCTGGTTAGCTGCCCGTTTCCTGCGGTTTATGCTCGCCTTTTGACTGTTTTTTTTTTGTTTTTGTTCAACTTTTTCGTGAGTGCTTTTGTACATTTTTTATACCCTGAACCCATCAATGGGTATAAGGGTATATTGTATTTGAAATGTATGTAACACGCAGAGAGAAGCATCTCCGACCCCATAAAGTATATATATTCTTGATCAGCATCAATAGCCGAGTCGATCTAGCTATGTTCGTCTCTCCGTCCGTCTGTCCGTCCGTCCGTCCGTATGTATGAACGCAAGGATCTCAGAACCTATTAGAGCTAGATACTTGAAATAGATTAGATGTAGGTGCTCCTAGTGCCTGCGTAGATCGAGTTTGTTTCCGATAATCGATAACTTATTTTTGTAACTATAATATATAACTGTTTTTTGCGCATTTTTGATAAATAATAAGAGCTAGAGTCACCAAACTTGACATATAGCTTCTAAAATGGAATATATATATGCATTTGATGTTGGAAGAAGAGGGTTCAGGGTATCCCGTAGTCGGCAGCTCCCGACTAGAACCTCTTACTTGTTTTTTTGTGTTCCATGTGTTTCAGTTTTTGTTTCCTTTTTTTGGGCGGACGATGCGCCTATAACTTTCTGGCCCGCTGCACAATTTTCTCTGACGTGTTATTTATCATAAACTTAACTGCAGTGGTGCGCATAAAAAAGCAAAGTATACACTTCTTTTTTTTTGTCGAAAGGGTTCATCAAATGCAAATAAAATGCAAATAAAAGTCAAGTGGTTGCTTGAGCGCCTTTCAGTAAGCTCTCAATTGACCTTGGCTTCAAAAAATCCAAATTTTCTGCTACCTGCTTTCGGGCTTAGCGGCTCGG